GGAAGAGAGAGAGAGAGAGAGAGAGAGAGAGAGAGAGAGAGAGAGAAAAGAAAAGAAAGACAACTTCTTAGGTTGCAGCCAGGCCTCCTGAGCAGAGACTTGGGTGGGACCCAGTCACCTGTGTGTCCTGGGGATCCTGACACAGGCTTCACATGAGACTCTCCGGCCGTGACCGTTGAGTGACCACCCCCGAGCAACTGTGTGTTCCCCGACAGCACCGCCCCCAGTAGCCAACTCTGCGTCTCTTCTCTGCATCCGCCTGCCAATTTCTTGACACGTCTCAGCTGATCTCCCTGTCAACGCGGGAGCATGGCTCTTTAGGACCGAAGGGGCATCTGGGAGGCACATCCCAGCGTCCGCCACAGACGGTGCGGACCGAGCCCACGTGTACACGCCCACGAATGCAGGGGCGGCAGCATAGACATGGTGCCTGCCCTTGGGAGGCCACGGTCTCACCGGAACATTAGCAATGAATCACACATCCGAGGCATGGCACGTCCGGTTCATGAAATGTACAGGACGCCTCGAGTGACATTAACAAGGGAACTTCGCAATACAATGATTGAGTAATTACACTGAGCAGCAGCATTGGGGGTACAGGTCAAAGATCAGCAGGGGTGATGTGGGCCAAAGGTCGAGCTCCTTCTTTTTCTGGGCTGCGTGGTCTTCCATGGATGGATCCCATAACTTATCCAAGCTGTCCTGTGTCCATGAATGGGATAACTCCCCTGTACACAGCCCTGTGTGTCCTGGTCCCCTCAGGTGACGGTCACTGAGCTGAGGCCTCCGGTGACAATGGATATTTTTCCCCTCCATCTTTTCCAAGGACCAGGAGGACATTTACTTCATGAAGGGGGCCTTCGAGGAAGTGATTCGCTACTGCACCATGTACAACAACGGGGGAATCGCCCTGCCGCTGACGCCCCAGCAGCGGGCCTGCTGCCTGCAGGAAGAGGAGCGGATGGGCTCGCTCGGCCTGCGGGGTCAGTGCCCGTGCCCGGAGCTTTCCGTCTGTGTGTGCAGTCATGTAGTGCGTGATGCTGGTCCTTAGTCAACCAGGCAACCGTCAGAAGGGCTGCCGGGCATTCTGGGGACAGCAGAGGACGCTTGGAGCCCCAGGGCCAGAAGAAGGTCAGAGCCCCTGTCTGTCCCAGCCACGATGACCCCCGTGAACCTGGATGGGGCTCGCGCGTCTGAGAAGAGGCGGGCCCCCTGCTGGGTTTCCTACGTGGCTGGTCTTTCTGCTAGGGCTTTTCGCTCTTGCCTCTTGTCAAGAAAGCCCAGAGCTCTTTTTCTTCGAGGAAGGCGTTTCATCTGTGGCCAGTTTTCTGCACCGGAGCCGGTACCTGCCCTGGCGGGTTGAACATTACAGCCTGCATTTCTCATGGTGCCTTTTGTCACCCTGGCTGGTTTCTGAGAGGCGTTTGGAAACGCTAGGAATGCTTGGAGTCCCACCGCAGAAGCACAAGGTGCTGGGCTTGCCCTGCTGGTTCCAGCTGCCTGTTTCCCCTTAGGGAACAGCTGCTGAGAGTTGGTGGCATGTGTACAAGGCGAGGCCCTCGCAGCCCACTGGGCCGGAGCGTTGCCAGCACCGGGCATTGGTCATCTCTTCTTGGGGTGGGCGGGCTTCACACCTCTCAGTGGCCCGCAGGATGGTCTGTGGAGCGCTAAGTCTAAACAGGCCCAGGGGAAAGTACGGTGCCTCGGTTTCCCCATCTGCAAGAGGAAGGCACAGTAGCAGTCACTTGTTGGGTGGCTTCGAGGCGAGGGTGGAAGAGGCAGTGAACAAGAAGGCCTTGGGGAACAGGTTGGCACGCAGGGGCTGTGGACGCCACTGTCACGACTGATATAGTCAAGCTCTTAAGTGGCTGCGTGTCCTGGTCACCCAGCACACCTCCTCACTCTGTGACAGCGTCACTTATGAGTAGATGGATCAGTATGTCTCCCACTTGGTCCTTGCCCTGAATCCCCTCGGGACGCTTCTGGTGCCCGGATGCTGCCTGCATGCCAGGCACCGTATTAAGTGCCCACCCGGGACCATTCTCCAATCCCCTCCAGGCTAGGCAAAGCCCTGGGGTTTGCAGCCAGGTCCCACAGCTAGTCTGTGTCAGAGCCGGCGCTTGAACCCAGATCTGTCTAGTGGCAAAGTGTTACCGACATGCAGAGATTTTCTGGGCCTCGGAGGAGGCCATGACGAGACATGGGCAATCAGGAGGTGTGGTGACTCTCCACAGTCACCTCCAGGTGGCACACGGGCCCTCTTGTGTTTACAAGTGGACTTGTTGCCATCATGGGGCCGGGACAGTGTGTCCTGCTGCCTGGCAGTGGCGAAGACCTGTGTGTGTGTCCAAGTCCATCGCAGGCCCGGGAATCAGTGGAGGGCATTCATCAAGGCTTGAGGCGAACTGAGTGCCCGCTGTGGATGGGACGGGGCAGTGCCCGTGTCACTTAGGGAAGCCTCCAACCTGCTGTGCCCCTAGATTGGCTTGGGCGTTGAGACACCCCCACCACACACCCAGGAAAAGGTGACGAGCACCACGGAGGGGGAGGAGAGTCGGGGTGGCAGAGCACAAGGGCAGGAGTGAGGGTCTCTGGGGGTGGAGCACTTGAGATGCTTCTGGGAGCAGGGGACATGCGCAGTGCGTCTTCGGGAGTTTGCAGACCCCAGACGGAGGGTGGGGAGCGGAGCAATGGGTCAAGGGTGGGGGTGGGAGGAGTGGCCCCAGCATCATTAGCACATGACCCAGCATCATTAACGCATGGCCCTGGCATCATTAGCACATGGGCCCGGCATCATTAGCACATGACCCAGCATCATTAGCACATGGCCCCAACAACATTAACACATGGCACCAGCAACATTAGCACATGACCCAGCATCATTAGCACATGACCCAGCATCATTAGCACATGGTCCAGCATCATTAACACATGACCCAGCATCACAAGACCCAGCATTAGCACATGGCCCCAGCAACATTAACACATGGCCCCAGCATCATTAGCACATGGCCCCAGGATCACTAGCACAGGGTCCCAGCATCGTTAGCACATGACCTAGCGTCATTAGCACATGGCCCAGCACCATTAGCACATGACCCAGCATCGCAAGACCCAGCATTAGCACATGGCCCCAGCAACATTAACACATGGCCCCAGCATCATTAGCACATGGCTCCAGCATCACTAGCACAGGGTCCCAGCATCGTTAGCACATGACCCAGCATCATTAGCACATGGCCCGGCATTATTAGCACAGTGCTATGGCTGTGCAGGAGGGGGGCGTTGCAGCCTCTTGGTCACAGCCCCCCAGTGTCAGTAAGGTGACAAAGAAAGTTCTTACACCACCACTTCTCAGATCACTTGGTCCCCAGGAGCTGGGCCCAGCCTCTGTGCTACGGAAACAGAGTCAAAGTCAAGGACAGGCTGGCAGCGAGAGTCCTCTCACGTGTGCTGCTCTGCCAGAGGCTCTTCTTAGCCTCCGGTCACCGCCGCCCAAGTCCCTGGGAGGAGCCACCCGCGAGCACAGAGCACGGGGGAAGAACCGTGGGAACGTCCCGTCGTGCGCAGTCCCCTGGGTTCTCTGACGGCTGCTGTGGTGGGGGGTGGGTCGAGGTCTGCACCGCAAGAGGAGAAGAGTCGTTCCTGCTCACAGCTTGTTTCTGGCACTCTGCTCTGTGGGCACCTGTGCAGGCCTGAGCGCCCCAGAGAGACCGCTGCCTTCCCCGTAGCAGACATGGGGGATCTGGGCCCCACGGAGGCTGACAGGGACTGACAGCGGTCCTCCCAGCGCCCAGTGACCCCTCCCTGTCTCGGTCTCTCCACAGTGCTGGCCCTGGCCTCCGGGCCCGAGCTGGGGAGGCTGACGTTCCTGGGCCTCGCCGGCATCATCGACCCTCCGAGGGCTGGCGTGAAGGAGGCGGTCCAGGCTCTCTCCGAGGCGGGCATGTCCGTGAAGATGATAACGGGAGACGCGTTGGAGACGGCCTTGGCAATAGGTGCCCGGATCGGGGGGGTCGAGGAGGAGGGGCCACCCCTCCTTTACACAGGAGAGGGTGCTCACGCCTAGCGATTCAGCTTAGAAGAGATCCTGAGACTTGTGTTCCGACTTCTCCGATGTTCCTGTTTCCAGAGTGCTGGCAGGTTCTCCAAGGGGGGCAAAGCCCTCATGAATACTGAGGAAGGACCCACTGTGTGTCAGGAGCTTTTCATCCACAGTCATTCCCTGTGTGCAGTTTTAGTCTGGCCTCTGCCACTAGCTCTGTTCCCTTGGCAAATCATGGAACCACTATGACCCTCAGACTCCTCATCCGCAGAGGGCTAGCAGCCCTCCTCCTTCCATTCTAATTATTACTGTTAGGAGGGTTGTCATACCCTGGTTTGTCCCCTGTCTTGAGGCAGCCTGGCGCTGTGAAAAGGCCCAGAGGCCTTGGAATCAGACCAGGCCAGGTTCCAGGACCCTACTTATAAGCTGTGTGTCCTCGGGGAATTGCCTCTCTCTGCTTCCCATCTTTAGAGCGGGGCTCATCAGGCCTTTGTTGGACGGTGGTCTGTGGATGGAATTGAGACGATGTCACCAGTAGGCGCTCAGTGAACGGTGCCCGTCACGGTTTTATTCTCGTGGTTCTCTGTGGCCAAGAGGGGCCCGGGGTAGGGGGTGGGAACGGGGACCACCGCGCAGGCCTTGGAGCAGGCCCTCAGGACGGACTCTCCCAAAGGAAGGAGCATCGGCCTGGCCCAGGGGAAGCTGAGGACCATGTCCGGGGAGGAGGTGGACAGCCTGGAGAAGGCCAAGCTGGCCGGCCGCGTGGGGAAGGTGGGTCCCGGGCGTGGCGGGGAGGGCGGGGCTCCAGCGCGCGCCTGCGACGGTCTGCTCTTCCTTCTGTGTCTCTAGGTGTCCGTGTTCTTCCGGACCAGCCCAAAGCACAAGCTCAAGATCATCAAGGTGAGCTGGGCGAGGCAGCTCAAGCCGCTCCCAGGGGGCCCCAGACCCGGAGTGCATCTGTCCCCGGGTGGCGGTCCAGGGCCTCCCTGCAGCTTCCTTCTCCGGGTCTGAGGCGGCTGCCCCAGGGTGGCCTTTCTGCCAGGAGCAGGAGGAGGACGAGCAGGGGTGGACTGGCAGCACCCTCCGAGAGGATGGGGCTCGGAAGCTGTCCACGAGCCTTGGGCTCGCGGCTCCTGGGCCAGACCATGGTCACGTGGCCTGGGCAGCTGCAAGGCATGCTGGGAAACATCATCTCTAGCTGGGCGGCCACGTGGTGGGCCAAACTGCGGAGCCCTGTTGGAGGTGGAGGGGCCACTGCTGAGGGACCGTGTGCCACACCCACGGCCAACTCGGAGCTGGAACTGGATGACGCGAAGGGAAAAATTAAAACAGATGCCGTCCCTCGATAGCTGGGTGCTCCTTGGCGTTATCCTTGGTGTTTAACTCCATGCCTTAGTTTCCTCATCTGCAAAATGGGGACACGACTAATGACATCAGCCCCGTTGCAAGGTTGGTGAGAGGATTAAACACAGCCAGGCCTGTGACTCTCAGAATACAGCAAGAGCTCAATACAGGTTGGTGACATTGACTCGTTGTCCGATTGGGCATCAAAGAACTGGAAGAGGCTGGGCACAGTGGCTCACGCCTGTCATCCCAGCACTTTGGGAGGCTGAGGCAGGAGGATCACCTGAACCCAAGGGTTCAAGACCAGCCTGAGCAACACAGTGAGACCTCATCTCGACAAAAGCTAAACACTGGCTGGGTGTGGGCGTGCATGCCTGTAGTCCCAGCTACTCGGGAGGCTGAGGCAGGAAGATCACCTGAGCCCAGAGAGCGGAGGCTGCAGTGAGCCATGAGCCTGCCACTGCACTCCAGCCCGGGCGACAGACTGAGACCTTGACTCCAAAAAAGAATGAGAAAAATGAGCTGGCTTTTGTCAACACGTGCTTTGACAATTCGCTCTTGGACTCGTAGTGGTTGTGTTTCTTGCTTTTGTGTTACTATTTTCAGTACGACAGGCTAAATATTTATGCAAGTCATTCCTCAGAGAAAATATTAGCATGTCTCGGGTGCCTTATAGTTCCAGGCCGCGTTGTTGATTGTGTGTTGATGGTCATGGACAACCTTACAGCAGTGGCCGGACACGGTCATGGCATCATCTTAGTGTGGGCCGCACAGCAGCCTTCGGAAGGCGGCCGTGCTGCCCCCACTCTGCGGACGGAGAGACTGAGGCCGAGAGTCCGAGGGCTCACGCCGTCCCCACAGTGGGCGCGATGGAGCTGGGATTCCGACTTGGGCCGGCCGGCTCCAGTGTCCTCCAGATGGGCCCCCTGCCCTGGCCACAGGGCGTGTGTGGCACAGCACTGGGTAAGGGAAGGACCCGGGAGGAGTCTGGGCTCCAGGCCTCCACACTACCTCTTCCCGAAGGCTCTGCAGGAGTCGGGGGCGGTCGTGGCCATGACGGGGGACGGGGTGAACGACGCGGTTGCCCTGAAGTCGGCAGACATCGGGATCGCCATGGGGCAGACGGGGACGGATGTCAGCAGAGAGGCCGCCGACATGATCCTGGTGGACGACGACTTCTCGGTCATCATGTGAGTTGCTGCTCAGGTCGTTTGTGGTTGTTGGTTTTGTTTTGTTTTGCTTTGTTTTGTTTTGAGTCGGGGTCTCACTCTGCCGTCCAGCCCGGAATGCAATTGCGTGATCATGGCTGCTTGCAGTCTCTACCTGCTGAACTCGGGCAATCCTCCTGCTTCAGCCTCCCGAGTAGCTAGGACTACAGGTGCACAGTACCATGCCCGACTAATTTTTTTTTTTTTTTTTTTTTTGTAGAAACGAGGTCTATGTTGCCCGGGCTGGTCTCAAACTCCTGAGCTCCAGCAATCCTCTTGCCTTGGCCTCCCAAAGTATTGAGGTGACAGGCGTGAGCCACCCACCTGGCCATAGGTCTTTTTTTTCCGGGGTAACCAGCTTCCCTAGGCTCATCTCCTGTGGAGACACAGGGGCTCCCACTGAGAAGGGGTCCCCAGGGTGAGCTCAATCTCTAGGCGAGTTGCTGAGGCACATGTTCCCACCCCAAACACCAAGGGCCTCCAAAGAGGGGTCCTGGGGCCAGTGAACCCTGGGCTGTCACACGTGGCACCCAGGGCAATGTCGCAGACCTCGAATCTGCAGCCTGCAGGTATGTTTCCAGCACGGCCAAACGCACCTGCCCCAGGAGAGCCGGGGTCAGGCCTGGAGCAGCTGCAGTGTGGGTAAGAATACCCAGGACCCCCCAGTCATCACAGGCAAGAGGTGGGAGCACTATGAAGCCGATAGAAATAACATCTTGGAGAGTATTTTCATGACACAAAGAAATACAAGTAGTGAGCGAGCAGAACAGACACTCAAGCCTAGCATGTGTCTCTTGGCGTCTGGGCTTCTGGCTTGGCTGATTTTGCTGCGTCTTTCTCTCTCGTAAACTGCTTAGATGCACTAAGCCCCTGGGGGTCCTGGGCAAGGGGCAGCCCCTGGCTGGGGGCCAGAGCAATGTCCAGCCTAGTGGGGGCGCCCAGCGTGTGCTTTGCCCAGAAGGGCTGACGCGCCCAGGGGCTGGTCCCCAGCGCCAACAGGCCTCGGTCAGGGCAGCAACGTCTTCTCTTGACACGTCCCCAGAGGGGGAGTGACCCTCACCTCGTGGCGCCCCCCACCCCGTGCCCACCCACGAGCCCCTCTGAGCCCACCTCCCCACCTGTCCCTCCTGCAGGAGCGCCGTGGAGGAGGGCAAGGGGATTTTCCACAACATCAAAAACTTCGTCCGCTTCCAGCTGAGCACGTGAGCAGGCGGCCATCCGGGCGTGGGGGCGGCGGGGCGGTGGGGCCGACGGGGCGTGGCAGCCGCTGACCACCGTGTCTGCGCCCGGGCCCAGGAGCGTCTCGGCCCTGAGTCTCATCGCCCTGGCCACCATGTTCAACCTGCCCAGCCCGCTCAACGCCATGCAGATCCTGTGGGTCAACATCATCATGGACGGGCCGCCCGCACAGAGGTGAGGCCGGCGGGAGCCCCGCGGCCCCCTCGTCTGCGGTGCACCCTCTGGGGCCGCCGGCTGCGCCCTCCCGCAGTCACTTTGCCTGAGGAGCTCCTTAGACAACAGAAGTGGGTGCGCTGGGTGGAGGCGGGGAGCGGAAGGTGAGGAGGATGGAACTTCCTCCTCCCGCTGCCTGGATGCTCTCCCTGGGCGGCCTGCACGGCCCCGCCCACTTCTTACTGGGGTCACTGCCTCTGAGAAGTCCTCCTTGACTGCTCTAACAGCAGCCTCCTCACACTCAGACCCTTCACCCTGCTTTATTTTTCCCCAGAGTGGAAGATGGATGATAGACAGACAGATAGGTAGATGAGATAGATAGATAGATAGATAGATAGATAGATAGATAGATAGATAGATAGATAGATAGATAGATATAGATGATAGACAGGTAGATGACAGATTAGATATCTAGATAAATGATAGATAGATGGAGAGACAGAGATAAATGACAGATAAGTCGATGGTAGATAGATATGATAGATGAGAGATCAGATAGATGATAGAAGCAGATGAACAGATAGACGATAGATTAGATAGATAGATGAGAGGCTGACAGATGATAGATACGATAAATAGGTAAGCCGGGCTCGGTGGCTCAGCCTGTCATCCCGCGCTTTGGGAGGCCGAGGTGAGTGGACGGCCTGAGCCCGCGGGTTCGAGACCCGCCTGGGCAACTTGGCGAGACCTCATCTCTACAATAAATCAAAAATTAGCCGGACATGGTAGCGCACACCTGTAGTTCCAGCTACTCGGAAGGCGGAGGCGGAAGGATCGCCGGAGCCCAGCGGGTCGAGGCTGCGGTGGCCGGGAGCGGCCGCTGCACTCCGGTCTGGGCGACAGAGTGAGACTCCAACTCAAAAAAAAAAAAAAAAAGATAAATAGGTAGCTAGATGATGGGTATATCTATACACAAACACACACACAGTTCATTCCCTTTCTGATTAGTGGCTGCCTCCTTTAGAATGTTGGCTCGTGGAGGCAGGGTTTTCGTTCTGTTCCCTGCTTTGTCCATGGCCGCTGGAGGTAAAGCGCTTGGCACATAGTAGGTGCCCAGGACATGACAGCCACATGCGTGAATGGGAAGGGAGGGCCGAGACCCCAGGAAGGACGGGTCTCGCGGAAGACATTGCTTCCCTATGGCTGACTCAGTGCCACTGTCACTTTAACCGTCACCGACGACAGCCACCAGGGAAAGGAGAGTCTAGACTGTTGCCCACTCCAGGTCTGAGGGGCCCCCTCTGCCAGCTCTCTGTGGCACGGGACCACAGGGACGGCTGGGCCTCACAGTGTTCCAGCAGGGCCTCACCCGGCCCGCTTCCGCCATGCCGTCCACTGTTGTCCAGGCTTGACTTGGCTGGGGCGGCCTCCCTGGCCAACGGGGGGCCCTGGGAGGGCAGAGCTGGGGTCTGCCCCTCCAGGCCCAGCCGGGGTCCCTCATGAGGATGGAGGTGGCCTGAGTGGACAGAATGACTGGGTGCGGTTCCAAGGTCATGGTGTGGATGCCCTCCTGGGTGGTCTCCCCTCGCTGACTGGGGGGCAGGAGGGCAGAGGAGGGGCACAGCTGTCCACGGGCCCAGCCCCGATCCTGGGGTATCCCAAAGGAGCCCAGGGGCCAGGAGGCAGGCAGGGGAGGCTTAGGGGCATCCTGGTGCAGATGGGATCCCCTGGCTCAGGGGGACACCTGGAGGCCTCTGGCAAATGGCTGTCCCAGTCCTACTTTCGAGCCTTGGAAGCCTTTTCACCCATGGCTCACCACCATGTGTGCCCGTCTCATCCCGGGCAGTTTGGGCGTCGAGCCGGTTGACAGGGACGCCCTCAGGCAGCCGCCGCGGAGCGTCAAGGACACCATCCTCAACAGAGCCCTCGTCCTGAAGATCCTCCTGTCCGCCGCCGTCATCATCAGTGGGACGCTGTTTGTCTTCTGGAGAGAGGTGAGCCGTGAGTGTCCACTGAGCCTGCGTGTGGCCCAGATGCTGGTGCCAGGAGCTGTCACCCCTGCGGCTCGTGGGCCGGGGACCCAGACGCAGACACACGGGAGAGCACGGGGCTGTGTGAGGGAATGGGGGCGTGAGGCAGGGGCAGGGGGATGCCCCCAAAGGCGGCTGCCAGCCTTGTGCATGGGAGCAGCAGAGACCTGCAGGACAGGGATGGCTGTGCCCAGGGTGAGGGTGGGGGTGGGAGGCCGGGGAGGTCTCGTGGGCAGGGAGAAGAATCCGATTTCCTTCATGAGACAGGGTCCCCTGATGCTTTCTTTTTTCTGAGTCGGAGTCTCTCTCCGTCACCCTGGCTAAAGGGCGGTGGCACACTCACGGCCACCCCAGCGTCAACCTGCTAGACTCCAGCGATCCTTCCGCCTCAGCCTTCCAAGTAGCCAGAACTACGTGTGGCACATGCTACCACACCCGCTTCATTTTTTATTTTATTGTAGAGATGAGGTCTCGCCAAGTTGCCCGGGGGAGTCTCGAACCCGCGGGCTCAGGCAATCCACTCCCTCAGCCTCCCAAAGTGCTGGGATGACAGCCGAGCCCAGCTACCCCCTGGCTTTTATTATCAGCAACAAATCATTTGAAACCTACGACGGGATCCTCCTGCCTTATTCTCTAGAGGTGATAGCCTCAGATCTCACCCTGGGTCACTTTTTATTTTTAGAGACAGAGTCTCGCTCTGTCTCCCAGGCTGGAGTACTGTGGCAGGATCACAGCTCACTGCAGCCCCAACCTTCTGGGCTCAAGCAATCCTCCCTCCTCAGCTTCCCAAGTAACTGGGATGACAGCATGTGCCGCCATGCCCTTAATTATTTTTTGAAGGGGTCTCATGATGTCCAGGCTGGTCTCAAACTCCTGTTCCCCAGTGATCCTGCTGCCTCGGCCTCCTGAGGCGCTGCGATTACAGGCTTGAGCCACCGTGCCTGGCCTCAGGGGTCGCTTTTCCATGGCCTTAAGGTTCAGGGAGCCTCCGGGCCTGGACGTAGGATGACCTCGGTGGGAAAGGAGGCCCTTTCTACCCCAGAGCGCCCCTGTGTAGGCAGACTAGGAGACCCTGGCCAGCTCCCAGGTCTCCACTTTCCCTCAGGTTTGCCCTGCCTGGCCCACCCACACCTGGCTTCCGCCTCTGCCCAACCCAACGCTTTGCAAAGTGCTCCCTGAGTTCTCACCCACCTCTGAGTGTGGTCAAGTCGAACCACAGAGGGAGAGACAGCCCGGCCAGGGGGTCCCCAGAATGCGGTGCTAGTGGTGGCGTCAGCACCCCCCAGGGAGGCTGCCAGAAAAGCAGAGGCCCGGGCCCCACCCAGGCCTTCCGGCATCCGACCCGGTCCTCACACATGCTCACATCTGAAGGCCTGTGCTATGCAGCTGAGGTTCGACGGCGGGAAGCTGAGGACGGCCTGGAAACTCCTGCCTGGGAGCTGGTCTCACCTCGGCGCCGGCCGTACCCGCCGATTTCGGCAGGACGGAGGCCCCGGGTCTCACAGGGGTCCCACAGGGATCCCGGAGTTTCTCTCACAGAGCACAGCCCCGGTCACCTCAGAAGCCCTTGTTTTGGTGGGGTCAGCCACCCTCCGGCCGTCCTTGTAGGAAGTGGCATTCTGTTCCGTGGGCTCCACTGCGGTGATGTCACCTCCCTGGAGGAGGTGGCACTTCTCCTGTCTGTACCACCTTTCTATGTGGTGGCATCGGGGCAGCCTCCTCTTCCCAGTGGCCGACACTACTGATGGCCTTCTCAGGTGCCGGGTTCCCCTGGCGGCAGCAAACCAGGGTGTACCCGCGCTGACCTCACAACAGGAGCAACCTTTATGAGCGGTTTCTCTTTTTGGAGTCAGGGTCTCACTGTGTCGCCCAGGCTGGAGTGCAGTGGCATGATCACAGCTCACTGTAGCCTCAACCTCCTGGGCTCAAGTGATTCTTCTGCCTCAGCTGCCTGAGTAGCTGGAACTATAGGCAGGTGCCACCATGCCCACCTGACTTTTAATTTTTTTGTAGAGACGAGGTCTCACTATGTTGCACAAGCTGGTCTCAGACTCCTGGGCGCAGGTGATCCTCCCACCGCGGCCTCCCAAAGAGCTGGGACTACAGGCATAAGCCACTGTGCCTGGCCAGCCCGTTCTCTTAACCAACAAGCCTAGACACCGCCTGCGGCCTGGACCCAGGCCTGCGCTGCCAGGCATGTGCCGGGAACCCCGGCTCCCTCCCCAGGGCTCTTTGGCTCATGGGAACCCCAACCTCCCTTCCAGATTCCTGAGGACAGAGCCAGCACGCCCCGCGCCACGACCATGACGTTCACCTGCTTTGTGTTTTTCGACCTCTTCAATGCACTGACCTGCCGCTCGCAGGTGAGCTGGGCTGCCCTCGCCCCCTCCCCTCCCGGAGCTGCTGTGTGCTCTCCCGGATGTGGGTGGCCTCGGGCCACCGCGTGACCGCCTTCTCCCACAGGCCAAGCTGATATTCGAGATTGGCTTTCTCAGGAACCGCATGTTCCTCTACTCTTCCTTGGGTCCCTCCTGGGGCAGCTGGCCGTCATCTACGTCCCACCCCTGCAGAAGATCTTCCAGACGGAGAACCTGGGGGCGCTCGGTGAGTGAGGGGGCGTGAGCAGAGGTCGCCTCAGGGTAGGCCACCACACACCGGCTGTTGGGTGGGGAGCCGTGGAGCTTCCCGGGGTGAGTCCCTCCTGGGGCTTTCCGTCCTCGGATGGCCTCACGTGGGCATCTGTCTCGCAGGGTGAGAGAGCGACATGGTGGGGGTGCAGAGGACACAGAGGAGCCCCAGGAAGAGGCCCAGGGCCTAGCGGGCATCAGCAGCCCAGGTGCTGGACTGCAGGCAAAGTGCACAAAGTGCACAAAGGAGGGGAAGGGAGGAAGGGGAACGAGGGAGGCTGGTCACAGTCTGGGATGTGCCCCCCACTGGGGCACCTGGAGTAACCCCACGGCCACTAGCGGGACTGAGACGTCCGTTCACCTGAAGACAGGGAGCCAGGTTGTCCTCCAGCTCCTGCTGAGAGGGTCACGATTCCGTGGCCATGGTTCTCAAGATTCCCGAGTACACACGCCCTGCTGCGGAACCCGGGGCTCCCCCCATCCTCACCCACCGGTGTGGCGATTGTTCTGAGGCTGTGGGGACAGCAGGAGTGTGGTGAGGACCATGTGGGGACAGCAGGAGTGTGGTGAGGACCAAAGCCCCCGTCCCACTCTCTCCTCCCTTCTCCCAGGCTGCTGCTGGACACTGCCCCCAGGGCAGAGGGGAGGGAGGCCGGTGAGGCAGCCCCAGTGGGTCCACGCCCACAGGCAGAGCTCAGGGTGGGCCTGGAGAAATACTGCTCCCGCACCACGAGCATCCAGATGCACAGCTCCTGAGGGTCCCAACAGGATCCATCAGGTCTGGGGCTGTGGTGACAAGGGCACCTGAGACCTCCAAGCAAGACTGGGATGGCCCGCTCTTCCGTGTCCTCTAAAGGCAGTGTCACTGGGGGTGGCCAGCGAATACCCTGTAGGAGTCGGCAAAAGAGAGTCCTCAGAGCAACCTTTTAAATGGTTGTTTCCCTCCATTGGGTAGACAGCCAGCTTGCCCCATCTGGAGTGGCTATGCCTGGGTACCCTGGGTGGCAGGCGTCGCCAACAGCAGGGCCCAGGGATGGTTCCCCCGGCAGGATCCCATGGGGCACAGGGAGATAACAGGAGTTAATCTGAGGGGACGAGTCAGGCCGCACTGGATGGGGAGCTGAAGTGACCACTGGCGTTTGCAGGAAGCTGCACACTGGGCCAGTCGCCATCAGGGGTGGAAACGGCCCTCCATGACAGCTTGAGGCTGTGATGTGCCCCAGGCCACTCAGTGTCCCCCCCCCTCACTGCCCCATTTGCCTGGAAAGATGGACAGGCCCTTCTGGGGCTGAAGCACGTGGGGTGCTGGGTTGGGACGCTCCCCCTTCAGGGAAACGAAGAGGCTGGCCCTCGGCTCCCGGGCTTTACGAGGGCCGCCAGCAGGGAGGAGAGCTTCGTGGCCACGCGGCAGGGTGGGGCCGGCAGGGCACGGCAAGTGCTCTGACCGCTTCCTCCGCTCTCCTCTGGCAGATTTGTTGTTTTTAACTGGATTGGCCTCGTCCGTCTTCATCTTGTCTGAGCTCCTCAAACTGTGTGAGAAATACTGCTCCCGCACCACGAGCATCCAGAGGCCACCTGACGGCGTGTAGTGGACCCCTCTCCACGACAAGTTCCCGAAATCATCGTGATTTCATGCGACTGTGGCCCTTCCCTGTCGTCTTGCAAGTGCAGGCCCCAGAGGGAGGCTTCCGGATGTCCTCACACTCGCTCACTCGCGATGCTTCCTTGTGGGAATCCTGAGGGATCTTGGGGTGTTTCCCAGGAGGCCCGTGTCCCTCCATCCCTCCCACTGCTCGAGGACACACGGGAGGGGCCTGTACAGACACATCACACTATTTATTAAATCTCAGTGGTTTTTATCAACCACATCTGTCTATGTGTTTGTGCCGCAGCTTGCGGCAAGGCGGCTCCCTTGTGATGTATCCACAGGGCTCCCTGGAGAGGCAGCCGGGAGGACGGTTACATCTCTGCCCGCCGGTGTCTCCTCGGAAGCCCCATTTCCTCATCATATGAGAGCTTTGGGCCAGGTGTGGTGGCTCATGCCTGTCATCCTAGCACTTTGGGAGGCCAAGGCAAGAGCATTATTTGAGCCCAGGAGTTTGCGACCAGCAACATAGCGAGACTCATCTCTACAGATTAAAAAAAAGAAAACTTAGCTGGGTGTAGTGGCACACGCCTATAGTCCCAGCTACTCAGGAGGCTGAGGCAGAAGGATCTTCTGAGCCCAGGAGGTCGAGGCTGTAGTGAGCCATGATCCTGCCACTGTCCTCCAGCTTGGGTGACAGAGAGCGACCCCTGACTCAGAAAAAATATGTCAGTCCAAAAATGACGCACAGGGTCCTCCCACCGCTGCCATCGTCATCTCCCATGCCACACAGGCTGCCCAGGGGCCTGAGAACCCACCCACCCAGCACACCACTGCCGCTCGGGCATCTGGCCAAGCCGCCTAAAGGCCCAAGAATCAGCCCTCCTGAGCCCACTGACACCAGTGCCAATGTATACTGCTCTGAGGTCCCAGGTGCCCTGTCCTCTTCTACCACCACTGAGGCCCGAAGACTGACCCACTTGGCATCCCAGCCCCCAGAAAAACTTCACCATAGCCTCCACCATGACCACACCCTAAGCCACTAAGAAAGTTACAGACAACACAGACGCTGTTTACAGCCAAAGAAATCATACATACTACACTCCTGCACACCCAGACTAAAAGCCAAGGTGCTCGACCCACCCAACATTAAAGATGCATCTCCAGAAAAAGTTCCCTCCTAAAACAATGGGAAGAATTGACTATTATACCAGGTACAAAGATATCAATGGAAGGACAAAGGAAACGAAAAAACAAGGAAATATAACACCTCCAAAGAAACACAATACTTTTTCAGTAACAGATGTGAACTAAAAAGAAATGTATAAAGTCCTGGAAGAAATTCAAAATATTGATTTTAAAGAAGCTAAGTGAAATACAAAACTAATACCCAAAACAATACAAAGCAAATCAGAAAAACAATTGACAATCGGCTGGAGTACAGAGGCACGCTCACGGCTACCACAGCCTCGACCTGCTGGGCTCAGGCAATCCTTCTGCCTCAGCCTTCCAAGTAGCTGGAACTACAGGTGCACACCCAGCTAGTTTTTTTGTGATTTGTTGTAGAGATGAGGTCTCACCAAGTTGCCCAGGCTTGTCTCGAACCCTCAGGCTCAGGCACTCCTCTTGCCTCAGCCTCCCAAAGTGCTGGGATTACAGGCTGAGCCACTGTGCCCGGCCAAAAATTTTTTTAAGATAATCAAAGCCTACATGATATATGGGACACCATAAAGCAAGCAAATATTCAAATATTTAAAGTCCCAGAAGGCAAAGAGGAGACAAAGGGATCAGAAAATCTATTTAATGAAAGAATACATGAAAACGTCCCATGTCTAGCAAAAGACTTAGACATCCAGAACCAGGAGGCTCAGAGACCCCCCAAACAGATACAATGCAAATAGGTCTTCTCCACAGCACATTGTAGTCAAACTGTCAAAAGTCAATGGCAGAGAGGCAGTTCTAAAAACTGCTAGAGAAAAGCATCTAGTTACCTAAGGAACCTCCATCAGACCAACAGCAGACTTCTCAGCAGAACCTCATAGGCCAGCAGATAATGGGATGATATACTCAAAGTGCTGAAAGAATTTTTTAAGAAACAACCTCTGCCAACCAAGGATACTATACCCAGAGAAATTACCCTCCATAAGTAAAGGAGAAATAGTATTTCGCAGACAAACAAAAGCTGAGGAAATTCATCACTGCTAGACCACCATACAAGACATGCTTGAGAGAGTACCTACAACCCGAAGTGAAAGAATGTTACATCATGAAAACACACAAAAATATGAAAACCACTAGAAGTACAAACACAAATAAGGAAAAGATGCCATGTAACCACTACAGAAAACAACCAAACTTCGATGATAAACTATGAGAGAAACAAATGATATTTAAGACAACCAGAAATCATTTAATAAAATGACACAAACCCTCACATATAAATAAGTCTTGTTTATAAATGAATTAAACTTTCCATTTTATCCATTACAGACTGGCTAAATGGATAAAATCATGACCCAACTCTGTGCCCACAAGAAACTCATCTCACCTGTAAAGGCACGTGTAGACAGAAGGTAAAGTGATAGAAAAAGATATTCCATGCAAACGGAAACCAAAAGCAAGCAGGAATAGCCATACTTGTGTCAGATAAAAAAGACTAAGCCAAAAACAGTAAAAAGAGACTTGGTCATTCTATAATGATAAAGGGACCAATTCAGCAAGAAGATATAACAATTCTAAACATATATGCACCCAGAACCAGAGCACCGAGACATATAAAGCAATTATATGACATATAAAGCAATTATAAATCTATTAGATTTAAAGGGAGAGATAGACTCTAATATAAAAATAGTTGGGACTTCAGTACCCTACTTTCAGTATCAGACAGATCATCTAAACAGAAAATGAACAAAAAAACACTGGGTTTAAACTGCACATTAGGCCAAATGGACCTAACTGACTTTTACAGAATATTTCATCCAACAGCTGCAGAATACTTCTTATCAGCACATGGGATACTTTTCAAGACAGACCATGTATTAGCCTACAAAGCGAGTCTTAACGAATTTTAAAATGTTGACATATCAAGTATCTTCTCAGACCACAATGTAATAAAACTGGAAATCAATAATAAGAGGAACTTGGAAAACTATACAAATACAAGAAAATTAAATAATATGCTCCTGAATGACCAATAAGTCAAGGAAGAAATTAAGGTAGAAATTTTTTTTAAACTTATATGACAATCAAAACACAGCATACCAAAACCTATGGGATACCACAAAACCAAGACTAAGAGGGAAGTTCATAACAATAAATGCATATATGCAAATATCAAAATAGCACAAAAATTTCAAATAAAAAACGCACCTCAAAGAACTAGAAAAGCAAGAACCAAACCCACAACTAGTAGAAGGAAAGAAAGAGTAAAGATCAGAGCAGAACTAAACAAACCAGAGACTAAAAATTATAAATAATAAAATGAAAAGCTGGTTTTTTGAAAAGAAAGTAAAATCAGTAAACCACTTGCTAGACTAACATAGAAAAAAAAAAGAGAGAAAAGATCCAAATTTTAAAAATCAGAAATGAAACAGGAGACATTGCAACTGGTACTACAGAAATACAAAAGTTCATCAGAGACTATTATGAACAGCTATACACCAACAAACTGGAAAGCCTAGAGGAATTTAATTAACTCCTGGACACATCCAACCTACTAAGATTGAATCAGGAAAAACAGAAAACCTGAGCAAGCCAATAACAAATAACACAGTCAAAGCAATAAAAATAAAAATCTCCCAACAAAGAAGAGTCCAGAACTGGATGGTTTTATTGCCAAATACTACTAAACTACTTAAAAAAAAAAAAGGAATACCAATTCTCCTCAAACTATTTCAGAAAATTGAAGAGGAGAGAATTCTCCTTAACTCATTCCACAAGGCCAGCAGCATTACTACCCCATTACCCTGATAATAAAACCAGACAAGAATGCAGAAAATTTTAGACCAAGATCCTTGATGAACAGGTATAGAAATCCTTAACAAAAACAAGCAAACTGAATACAACAGCACGTCAAAAAATAAATAAATAAAAACACCATAATCATGTGAGATTTGTTCCAGGGATGCAAGGATGGTTCAACATACAAACATGACACATCACATCAACAGAATAAAGGACAAAAACCACGTGATCATCTCAACTGGATGTAGGAAAAGCATTTGATAAAAATCCAACAACCCTTCAACAAACTAAGCACAGAAGGAACATACTTCGACATAATAAAGGCCACAGATGACAAATCCAGAGCAAACATCATACTAAATGGAAAAAAACAGAAGCCTTTTCTCTAAGAACTGGAACAAGACAAGGATATCCACTCTTACCACTTTTATTAACATAGCACTAGAAGTCCTGGCCAGAGTAATCAAGCAAGAGAAAGCATCCAAATTGGAAAAGGGGAAGTCAAATTGTCCCTCTTTGCTGATAATATCCTATATCCAAAAAAAACGTAAACTTCACCAAAACACTATTAGATCTAATAAATTGAGTAAAGTTGCAGGATATAAAGTCAACATACAAAACTCAGTAGTGTTTCTATACATTAATAATGAAATAGCTGAAAGAAAAATCAAGGGGCAATCTATTTATGATAGCTACAAAAACAAAAAAAACTTAAGATCAAATTTAACCCAGGAAGTTAAAAAAAAAAATCCTCTAACAAAAACTACAAAGCACTAATGAGAGAAATTGAAAAGGACGCAATCAAATGGAAAGACATCTTGTGTTCATGGATCAGAAGAATTAATATCATTAAAAGACCAAATGGCCCAAAGCAATCTACAGTTTCAATGCAATTGTTTTCAAAATATCAATGTCATTTTTCACAGAATTAGAAAAAAATCCTAAAATTTGTATGGCACCAAAAAAAGAGACTGAATAGCCAAAGAAATCACAAACAAAAAGAATGAGGCTAGAGACTTCACACTACCCAACTTCAAA